CTGACTTTTATGTCTGACTTTTATGTCTGATATCTGAATATTTATGAATGAACTCGGTCCATGTGTGTGGTGTGTTGTCTCTTGCCGTGTGGCTGTGCACCACACACTGCAGGACCTGCCGGTCCTGGTACAGTATATCTATGACTTTTTATCCTCACATGTGGGATCTCTCATTCTGTGAAAATCGTCTGACTGTTTTAAAACCTTGCAGTGTGACCCAGACTTAAAAAGACAGCCAAGATGTCAACATTCCTGAGATATCTGTCAATCAGTTGCAGATGTACATCTAGTGAGTAGTTTCTTAGAGTTTCACTAAAATCCATCTGCCAGTTTGAGATATTTTACTAACAGACACAAAAAAAACCACTAACACATGTTCTTAAGTGATAGTTTTGTAATGCCATAGCAAAGACTCACATAAAAAGCTATTTCTGATCATGAGGGTAAAGAAAATAGCATTTTTTGTTCATTTAATATTCTACATGCCAGACACTGATTTTAAAAATCTTTAAAAACTGAAAATTAGAATTACTTGGAATTAAATTTTACCTGCAGCTCAAACTGATTTGATTCAATGAGCCATGAGGGAAATATGTAGAAAACCACCAGCACAACATCGAGGTGTGTAACTGTTTAGGAGAAATGATCTCCTTATAATGAACGTGATCATTTTATTGTATTTAGATGAGGCCCACGTCACTGAACATACTCAGGAAACTGGTTCAACAAGCTATAACAACACAAGCTGTGATTATCACAGTCAAGGTAATAAAGAAAATTATTTTCAAACTTCCTAACATAAAGCTACTGCTGGTACTGATAAAGGATTATCATTAAAGTCTCTCACAATCTGCTGCTTCCTCGCTGCCAAACTGAACATAAACCAATTTTAATGTCATCATTTCTCTCACACGCATGCCTTCATGTCAGCCTCAGAGCTCAACAACATCTGCTACCACCACGCAGCCAGTTGTCACCCCTCCACACAWCAACCAGCCTGAAGTGTGTGAATTTATGCATGTCTGTATCGATTCTGGAGGGCAGATGGATGAAGATGAAGACAACAGCCGAATGAAAGGTGAAAAACGTTGCTAAAACAAATCAAGTGGGTCACCTGCATTTTAATAGACTTCACAAGCACAGTGTAAAGTTGAAGTGATAAAACAATCAGATGAGGTGTTTAGAATATAGTAAAAGGTACACATTATATTCATCATATTTATTACATTGAGTTCAAACACTTGAGGTTTTTTCTGTTTTTCACAGTCCTGGACATGAAAACCCTGAGAATTACTTGAGCTGAAACCTACAGTATTATTTACCAGCAATAATCCCWCCTCAAATACTGATTTCCTCCCCTAACAAAACCTACGTTACAAAGCTTGATTGTCCATTTTAGGTTGTGATACTACAGCTAGGCATGCCTTTTGTTGCAGAGCGAAGATAGAAGAATTCAAAGAAAGTCTCTAAAGGCTGTTTTTGAGGAGGTCGTACCATCYCATGGTGACGGCACTATGTATAGGTTGATGGAGAGTTGGCCTGAATGGGAAGGCAGCGACCTGTACTAGTCTGCAATATTTCCTCTTGTGACAGCAGAAAGCTTCTACAGTTAGTGCCTGAAAGGCTGTATGGACCTGAGACCACCAGATGATAAATCAAAGCTGTCATCACAGCCAGCTGGCAGGAAGAAAACATTTTCCTACCTGAATAAATGCATCTAAAGTGAATTTTTGTTCTGCTTCTTTGAAAAAAGTAACACGTCTCTTTTRCCTGTTAAGCAATGGACGCCAAGACAAATACTTTTAAAATCTAATTATGAAACAGTAATTTACCCATGGTTACATGACAACCTCAAGCCTAGRGGTATAAGAACATATTGATACATTGAAATATTGCAGTGTTTCATTTCCCAATATCTTATCAATCCTCTAACAACAAATATTGGTTGTGTTCTGATTTAAAGAGCACTGAAGTGAGAAGTCAGCACCCTGAGGCTTTTATCCACCTGCAGGGTCAACAAGGTTCAGTAAACTTAAACAATCAAAGCAGCTCATCTGGAAACAGTGGAGTTCATAGATCGCAGAGAGTCTTCCAATCAGAAAACAAGCATAGAGGTTAAAGGTCAGGGAGAAATCAATTACCTTCAGAATCACACTTCTGTTTTTACTGCACACCAGACAGAAGCAGCTGCAGGACACACTTACAGTACACGTGTACAATCGACCCACAGCAGAGCGAATAGGAGGGGCGACACCAGGGGAAATGTCCCCTTCTTTCAGACAAACGACACATGGCACAGCAAAATGTTACACTTTATTCACAGTGACATTCAGTACAAAACAATTAACATCAACGATAAATCAAGCTGTATCGTAAAAAGAAGCAGAACCACTCAGTCAAATTTTGAGTGTCCCTCTTGCACCACTGGAGATAAATGACCAAAGTTAATCTCCAACCATTTWTTTCTTGCTATGGCTGAATAAATGCAGTGACACAAACATTTTATAACAAACTGTTCTTTTTCTCAGTTTGTTATAACCTGGGGTGTGTCTTTTCTATGACACCTCACTGTTTCTTGAATAAAAACTAACTGAACTATAAAATCAGTCAGAACAATGAAATCCAGTTTAATACATTTCAGTATTATGTTTTGATTAAAAATTACCTAAAATCAGCTGGTTTAGGTTCTCAGACATCCATGACATGAAACTGCGTGACAACAATGCAACAACGTTGCTTTGGGCTCTCCATTACCAACGACAGAGCACAGTGTTTCTCTTAGAGTGTTGGCCTTGGGAGGGCGGAGGGGAGTTTTGAACACAGAATTATGATCAACAGCAGAAACATTACTAGTATTTATTAAAAAGGTATGCAGCTTTTTTAAAAATAAAAAATTACAGAACATGAAAAAATCTGCAATTTAATTTGCATTAATTGAATCTTGTATATCTCTGATTTAAATAACTAATCTGTCTAGTCATGAATCAATTTCAGACATCTGGAATGTAAGTGCAGTGAAGCCGATTAATCATAAAAACATCCTGCCGTACATGTGCTTCAGCGTGTTCCTGAAAAGCTTAATGTTAGATTAATTTAGTTTAAACTGAAGACTGSTAAAACTGAGGTGGTTGTGAAAGTTGCACTTTAATCTGCTTTTTTATTGGGCGTTTTATCTAAATTTAGGCCACTAAAATAAAAASACTGCAGTCATCAAAATGACAAGAGATGATATATAAACATCCCATGGGAGTTAGCTTCATTGACTGAGTGGAAATGTTTAAAAACACGATATACAAATGACTGAAGACCTAAACATCACATTTTYCCATCAAACTAAAAACCAAACCAGCTAATTTTATTGAAACTTTTTAACATCTTGTTCTGTGGCACTTAAAACAAATCACTATGAGAAAATATTCTTAAATTTCTTCCTGTTTTGCAGTCTTTGTTTTATTAATTTTCTTGTCTCGTATTTTGATCGTATAAAATGTTATGATCAGTTTAGGTTCTTCATTAGTTTTTTATTAAATTTTCCTCRTTCTTGTCTTCCAATTTATATTGAAAGTCATCATGAAACCTACAGTGATGTAGAAAACTTCAGATTTAGACCATTATAAAAACTGTTTAGGTGAAATAAAATCAAAATAAAGTCTAACCTACAAAACATTTTGTTCAACTTCCTACACAAACCATTATACGTGAGTGAACAGACCTCCAAAYCTGGCTGTTGCCCTGTGTCTGGACGGGGACACCAGTTCCTTAACGATCTGTAGGACCTGCATGGTCAGAAGAAGGTGGAGGTGGAGGCAGTGGAAGGTGCCACAGGCCAGTGGCAGCTCTCACCTCCCAGAACCTCATCCCTCCTCGGCTCCACCTCAGGGCTCATCACCTAATCCACAACATGATYCCAGGCAATCCAGGTGACCCAGAGCAAAACAAACAAAACTATTTTCCCATGAATGGTGGGTTTCTGGGTTGGTATTTGATCCTCAAGCGACTTGTGTTTCCAGACTCSTGGATCAACACAATCCCATCTGATGCTTTGAATCCAGCGTGAGGTCTACATGAAACAGCAGAAACTTAACTCCTGGCAGCGGCTGAAAGAAGCAGAGGATGTTTGCTCGCAGCACAGACTCTACAAACTGAACATGCTCGTCTCGCCTGTGATGTGTCGCTCAGCTGGAGAGCTCTCACACAAGCAAAGCAGTGCAGAGCTCTCCGCTCTGTTCTTTTTTTTTTTCTTCCCTGCTTCTTTCCTCCACACAAAAACCACCTGGCTGCTRCGGATCAATAGAGGCACAGTGGAACAGTGATGCTTCTCAATTGTTTCAGACTTCTTTTCTTCTCTCGTCCATCTCTTTCCTCCTCCATCTGCAATAAGCTGGCTTCCTCGCCTGCGCTCCTCTCTTCGCATCCAGTAAATTCAAATTAACGAGCACTTCCACGGCATCTCTATCCCTCCCTTCCTCTGCTCTCCGGCACTCCTCCCATCTCTCTCCATTTTATTGTATTTCTCTCCATCTCACCCCCACTCCTTCCCCTCATGTTCATCTAGTGTGAAGCTGGAACATGAGCAGAATGTAAAGCAGTACATGACAGTGTATAGTTATGATTTGTTCCAACCAGCATCACTAACACTGTCACCCAAAAGTGATGGCCTCTCACATCGCCATGTCTTCTTCATCTTTCTTGTCATGTTGTTCAATMATCTTTAATATTATGTGAGCATATTCATTAAGGTAAGCTGCCACCCACAACTACAAGGTTTTCCACTGTAAATAAAAATAGTTTTGGAAGTTATGGTGGGTGTTTCAGCCATCGGAAGTTTGGCACAAACATGTTTGTCTAAGTTGATTTCAGACAATCTGGGAATCATCCATCCATCCAATTTTGCAACTTCAGGAGCAACAGCTTAAAAAGCAGCTACCTGTACCTTCTTCAGCACATCTGGATATAATCTCTCCATTGAGTTTTGGGTTTGTTCTGAGTGAGACAAATCTAAAACACCACCCTTGGAAGACATCTTTACCAGATGCCAAACCACCTCAACTGGCGCTTTCGATGCAGACATATCTACAATCTACTTCAAGTGCCTCTCAAACAGGTCAACTCCACACCATATTTCTAAAGGTGAGTCCAGCTATGCTGTAGATCAGTTCAGCTACTTGTATTCAGGATCATCATTCATATCTCATGTCCACAGGTGAGGGTTTGAACGTAAATCGATGGGTATTTTGACAACTTTACTTTTGGCTCATCTCATTATTCACTACAGATCAATAGCATCTGCATCGTTGCAGAWCATCCCTAATCTAAGACCTCAAGGTACATGAACTCTCACCTGGTGCAGTAGTTCATTCATAACTCAGCCACCACTTTCTAGATCAGGATCTCAGACTTGAAGGCACCAACCTTTTGTTTTATTTTTATGCATCTTCCTTTGCTGCTTATGTAGTTTATGGAGTTTTACAAAATTTATATAGAGTAGAAAATACTCTCAGCGAACCTGAAGGTCAGCAGGGCGTTGAGGTGTCGTTATGACACCMCTTTGGCTAAATGCCTGAGGGTAATCCTGGTTTAGTCCAACTCTCATTGGAAAGGAGGAATCTAAATAATTATTAACAATGTGAACCAAACAATGATGCAGGTTATACAGGGACTGATTGATGCTTTATAGAATAAACCATGAAAAAAAATTTACATTTAATGTTATACACTCAATGGCCACTTTATTTGGTACACCTGTCCTACTGCTCATTAACGCAAATGTCGATTTAGCCAATCACACGGAAACAACTCAATGCATTTAGGCATGTTGACATGGCCAAGATGATCTGCTGCTGTTCAAATTGAGCATCAGGATGAGGAAGAAAGGTGATTTAAGTGACTTTGAATGTGGCGTGGTTGTTGG